ACTTTTCATTGTTCTTTGAAAGCGCATATCTGCCTTATACGAATAAAGGAACAAGTCGAATAATGAGGGTACAGTTCGTTCAGATAGGGATGACGACTATCACGTTCTTGCACTTTACAAATATGATGTAGATATCTTGATGATGTCCTTTCAGAGAATATTTTGTTTGAATCAGAGTGTGTTTGTTTTTTGGAATTCTTAATTTAATCTGTCAATCAAGGTTAGAGTAAGGAATACTTCTGAAAAGAATAGAGCGGTCAAATGTTTATTCTATTTATACGTACGAGGAGAGGGACTTAGATTGTATGAACTCTAACACATATATGATTTATCTAGTATCCAAATCTGATGTCAATTTCCTCATGAGTTTCACAAATAGTTTCATAGTAACTCTGAAGCCCAGTTTCGATTGCCGATAATCCGATGATTATCATTTGGAGAGAGGTTTAGATGATTAGTTTGCAGCTCCATCAATTAAGAGGTTACTGTAATTAATTTTATGTAATTCGGGTATCCAATAGAATTGAAAATCAAGTTTTTTTTTCCTTTGTTGGAAAATTAAACAGACCTATGCTTATTCATGATTTCCTGTTTAGTTAGTATCATGTAAAGTATATGTTAGATTTCCAAGACGACCACTGATGATGTTGCTAAGCGACATAAACATGTGGCGGCTTCTTAGATGTCAACCCTCCTTCTGCTATCAAATATCATCCATACTGATACTATTTTCAAAATTAGTAATACTGAGACTATGTTCAAAATGCAATCCTATTGAGACTATGTTCAAAATGCAATAATATTGAGACTATGTTCAAAATGCAATCATATTGAGACTATGTTCAAAATGCAATTATATTGAGACTATGTTCAAAATACAATCATATTGAGACTATGTTCAAAATGCAATCACATCAATACAATGTTCATAATGCAATCATATTGATAATATGTTCAAACTGCAATCATGTTGATACAATTTTCAAAATGCAATGCTATCGATACAATGTTCAAAATTCAATATAATTGATACTATGTTCTAACTGCAATCGTATTGATACAACGTTTATAATGCAATCTTATTGATACTATGTTTAAACTGCAAACATACTAATACTAAAAATGCAGTCATAATGAGACTTTAAAATGTTTCTTTCATTCTGTTAGTAAATTGAACGTATTTTTTCGAGTAAAACAATAAAAAAAAAAAAAACGTTTGGTTAAAAAACACAAGTAGAAAATGCCAAAATGTTGGAAATGCCACAATTTCTTCAAAACGGTTTATTTAAAACATTGAAAAATAAAAGATGAGTTGAAGTTAAGAGAAATGCTTATCTGGTAGCACTTTGAACCAATAAACATATTACAAAGCTGCCCTGATCATTCGATGAACGAGCAAAGATTCTAGTGATGCTCAAGAAATTTGTAGCTGCATGAATGAACATATTCATCGTTATTTTGTAAAACGAATTTTTTCGGAAGAAGTTGCTTTCATCATGCATGCATTTGTGTATCTGATTGAATAGTAATGAAAAGGCACAATTGTATATACATACGCAAATTTATATCCCATTTAAACAAGTCGTTATTTTAATACTGCATATGGCAAGTGTTTTGTAAGACGATATATATATATATATGATTATTGTCGTTTAATTGACTGCAACAAGTCTAAAACATTAATTTCAAAAGTACATTAGATTCGTAAATGCCATAATTATGCAACGATGCACCAATTTTATCATTTTGTTAACAGTTCTGTAAAATTTCTCTCGACGAAAGTCTTTATACTCTTTTTAATTGCAAATTTATATTTCCCATTGCCTGATATATCACCATAAACTTCACTAAAAGTTCATCAAGTCATTTCATATTACAAAACTGACGAAGACCATTTATCTTCATATTGGTTTAATTTCCGTTGTGTAGTAATGGTTTTAATAATGTATAAAATAAAGAAGATCACTGCAGCTCTCATGATATCGGCGTTACAAACGACAGAAAAACATGCATACGTAAAAATATACTAAATAATTCTGAATCAAAGTATATCCAAAGTTACCGAAGCAAGTTCAGGGTATTCATTTTATTGAAAAAGAAATCAGGCGGTGTTAACATTCTCAAAGTGGTCGTTCGCTCAATTTTGCTGTTTCATGTTTATATCTTAATACTGGTCAGTCAAATTGATTGTTTGATTTCACCTATAAAATATTTAGCTATAGATAGTAAAAGATACCAAAAGGGCAACAGAACAATCACTAGTCAAAGAACCACAGACAACACAGTGGCCAAAAGAAAAAAAGACGAAAAGAAAGCATCCAACAAAACACAAAGTAGAAAACACGAAACTGGGTACATATACTGATAACCTTTTTTAATTTATCCTTTCGAAATTAGAAAAAAAGGTCCGTTCTTAGTCCAATCCGGTTTATTTATAATGTGTGATCAAGTTTTGAATGAGTATCAGACAAACGAATTGCAATTAACTCTTTTTTCAAAATTCATGGATATCTGGAAATAATACATAATAACCACAAGAGATGTCTTTACGATAGAGCATTTTTGTCAGTATGTGCAATTGGAAAATATAAATAGGTCGTTTGCAGGTCTAAAAGTTGTTTTTCATTTTCTGTAAGAAAATTCAAATAACCTTTTTTCTTAAAAAATGTGGAGAGCGAAAAAATATTCCAAATTCCAGATTTGACAACAACCAGATACACTAACACATTGAATATATCAAACCTATTACAACAACCGTAGAAGGACAGAACAACATTAACAGTATTACATTTGATGAATGAAAATACAATGTGATTAACCCTTTTCTGTCTTTCAATATGATGTTCTACATAACTCAATATGATAACATAAAAAAACAATTACGATACTGCGTAGTTTCAGTGATCTAATTGTACCTGAAATTTTAAGTGCGATGACACATAGCTTGTGGTTTTTTTGAAAGTGGCAGTTTCATTAACAAACATGCAATTTTATTAAGACAATTGAGTCACGATTCTTGCGATATTGTCTTCGGGGGAAAATTTGATTCGCGTCAAATGAGCTGTAGTATGTAAGCAGTCGGAAATTTAGTCTACTGAAGTAATTTCTCTTGTCTTGTAACATATACTTGCAAAGAGGAAGTTGGTTAAAATGAAAATGAATTATTCACTCACTTCAAGCAAAATACGCTTGAACAGCGTCTCGTGTTCAAAGATGATTGCAAAACCAGAGAAATTACGATGGAAAAAAATCATCATATACATACGATTTTAGTATACCCTATTTTTGTTCAAAAATATCATGTCATATTCTCATTAATGCTAGTGCTTATAAACATAAGACGATTGTGGACATCATATTTGTTTTTCGTAAATTGTTTTGTTATAAAGTAGGCCGTTAGTTTTCTCAATTGAATTGTTCCATATTTTTTATGACATCAGATTCACATTTCTGTGTGTTCAGTAAATAGATTTAACCCTCAGTATGCTACAAACATATTCCGTTCATAAATTGTTACACTAGTTTGGCAAAATTGATATAACAGGAATAAGCGAAGTATTGAAGATTACAACAAACTACAACGTCCTACTCGTAAATAGATTTAAAAAAAAAAAAAAAGAAACAAACAACACATATATATACAGATAGCCATATTTGCTACAGATACACACATAGAGGTTAAAAAAAATTTACTTGGACACACACCCCAAACCATAAGTGCGCACACACGCACACCATAAAAAGACAATAAAAGAACTGCACAGTCCAGCTTCCAACAGGAATACAAACTAAGGCGCCAGTAAGTTGCTCGATATCAGGTGCGTCAGCAGGTTGTTTTGTTTATATACAGTTTGGATTTAGAAGAAAAACCGACATATTTAGAAAATACATAATATAACGCCATTACAAACTCAATCTTATATTCTTGTACGAGTCTACAATAAAACAAATCTATTACATATTTAGAAATTTACCTGTGATGATATAAACGTCACAAAAAATACGTCACTTTTTGTGGCGTCGATACATTCGTGTGAGGCACAGTTTATAATTCGTGTGTGGTGTCCTGGTGTGCTGTCATGGATTCATGGGAGGTGTCCGTTGTTATTCTGTGGTTTACATGTTGTAATGTACTATTATATTATTTATTCATGTGTTTCTCTTTCCTGAGTGTTCTTGCGTTTATTTGTACTGTATTCCTGTCACGTAATGTTGTCATTTTCGCGGTATTTTAAACATTGCCATATAAGCGGGAGGTTTGGCTAGCCATAAAACCAGGTTCAATGCACCATTCGTTCTTAAAATGTCCTGTACCAAGTCAGGAATATGGCATTTGTTATCAAATGGTCCGTTTCTATATATGTTGGCGTTTGTTTTTGTTGCAGTTCAGTGTTTCTGTTGTTCCGTTGTTTTCCTATTATAGTTGGTGTGTTTTCCTCGGTTTTGGTTTGTGACCCTGATTTGTTTTCGCTTAATCGATATATGACTATTGAACAGAGGTATACTACTGTTGCCTTTATTTACTACAAACTTGAAAAAGGAAATAAAAAAACAGTATATAATTTGGACAGCTAGGTCAAAATGTGTTCACAACTACAGGTAGTTAGTGGTATATTAGGTAGCAGCACCTGCTGTTGATTGAATACTGGCCCTGTAGAAAACAATAAATAAAAACAAAAAATATAAATAGGACTCATGAAGTTTCTTTATAATGTTAAATTCCAATTTGCAGGAATTGTGAGCGACCAGCAAGTATTTACTGTTGTCAGTCCATCAGAAAAAAGAGAAATATATCAGCCTTGTAGCTCCTTTCTGTCGTCTTCACCTGTTTAATAATACTAATGAAAATTTAACGAACTTTTTTGGTCAAAGACAAAGTATTGTGAAATGAATGTTAAATAAGAAATAAACATCCTGTGACCTTGAATTTACAACAAAAGCTTGCAACTTACTTTATATGTTTTTTTTTGTTTTTTGTTTATCTTTACCGGTTATCATTTTTTCCTGTTTCCTTGTGTTTTCTTTATAATATGTGTGCGTGGACGCAAAGTGAACATTACTAGTTAAGGCTGCAATTTTAAGTGGGATAGTTGTATTTGATTTGGTAAACAAAATCATGACTTGCCGAGAAATTAATTTGGTTTTCCTTATGGTATTAATGGTAAATCTAAACGAATACGGATTTTCCGCTTCCTTGAGTGAGTTTGCCAAGATAGTCGATGTCGAGTTTAAGATTCCAAATCTCAATGCTCAAGTTGGAATCAGTAACGAACATGACGTCAAACGAGTTACGAAGACTGGCAAGACAGATGTTACAGAAAATGACGATGATTTAAAGAAGGGACTAGCTGAAAAAGGACTCCATGGTAAACTAATTTGATAATATTTCTAAGCATTTCTGTACATGGCTCAATAATGAATTACAACCTTTCGGTTGAATTCATAAATTAGCAAGTTTTTGGAATACCCTAGTAAAATTATTGTGAATAAAATACCTGGTAGATATTGAAAACAAAGCAAGAAACATAATATTGAAGATATTAGAGTTTTTCTATAATTTAATTTAAAAGTCATTGCAAAAACTTAAAGTTCTTAATTTTAACGGATTTCAAAATGAATTTTTAAAATAAAATGAAATTTGTTATTCTTTCTAAAGAAAAGCATTACTTATCCAAATCAATGTATTTGGTTTTCGTGTTTGAATCTTGTGATATTTATTTATTTAATATTGAACTGTACAATCGGTTAATAATTGTACAAGCTCAGATGTCTCATGAATTAAACGTGTCAACGTGACTATTGTACTAGAATAATGGTCGTAGCTTAATTGGTGGTTTCATATATGATAATGATACTCGATACAAACTTATAGGACAAAGTAAATGTTAATATCTAATGACGTGATAATATTACATTTTTAGAACATAAATTATATAAAGGACTTCCAATCATAGGACATGTGGGGTATACGTCATTGAGAAAACAAAACGACGACAATACCGAAAAACATAAAGAAATCCAAACTAAAGTCATCTAGAGGTACACATACGGTCTTCAGAATTAAGTGTTTAGCCAAGCTCCGAATCGACCTGAGTCTATATAAATTGTTAAGTATTGGAACAATTACTTTCAAAGATCATCAACATCTAATCCCTAAAAATGACAGAAACGCTTAAGATATGACAAGAAACAATCACGAGCAAAGTTCCTGACTTCGTTTGGTGAACAACATGACATTGCAGCTCAATTCTATCTTACATAATTTAACAATAGTTAGGCATTAAAATCATATTTCTTTTGCGGAGAAAACGGTTAAGGGTTATTTAATCTAAGGTTTACCAAAGTTACAGTTGAGTTATTCCTTTTCAACGTAGGGCATATTTTCAGAAGCATCTCTTGATACAATTCAACAATTCCCTAAAAAGGTAAACATTTCCATAATTTTGCTAAGATAATGGAATTAGATAAGCGATTCAATAATGTATTATTTTTCTTCTTTTTTTTCCAAACATCAGAAAACAAAGAACACAACTACAAATCAATAGATTTACAAAATATTAGAAAACAGCTAGCAGGCTCAGTTGACATATCGTTCTCTGCGAAACTTGGAACATCTATTGCAGATATTTCTCCTTGGAATACGGTTGTATTTAACAAGGCGATTACTAACAATGGAAACTGTTACAACACCGCTACTGGTATTTTTACCGCTCCAATAGCTGGAACATACTATTTCTCCTCTACAATATTAACGAAAATGAAATCAACAGTGGAAATGTCACTGAGAGTGAACGCAAAGGATGAAATGTTGATGTACGCTTGCGCTACAACTCTATCATATAATAGTGCAACAAACAGCATCATTGTGAAACTGAATAAAGGCGATAAAGTAAAAATTATCAAGTACGGTATATGGGGAGCGCGCCCGTTTTACATCCATCATAATTGGAGCACATTCACAGGTTTTTTGCTTTAGAAAAATAAGCATGAACAGAAATATGTATGTCTGAAACATCGGACTAAATAAAATATTCAATACAATTGTGACTTATATTCTTTATTATTTTACTAAATAGGTTGATAAAGTTATTACACGGTATCTCAACTCAATGTATTTTCTTAGTATGCATTGTATATTTAATAGTGATTAAGATTATAACACAATGTTGACTACTGTACCCCTATTTTTGACACTTTTACCTATCATGTGTGTATGTTTTGTTTACACATTGTTGTCAATATAATGAAATTTTCTGCGACTGTCATACAAGTGATAGGTTTAGCTAGCTATAAAACCAGGTTTAATCTACCATTTTCTACATAAGATAATGCCTGTACCAAGTCAGGAATATGACAGTTGTTTTCCATTCGTTTGATGTGTTTGAGCTTTTGATTTTGCCATTTCATAAGGGACTTTCTGTTTTGAATTTTCTTTGGACTTCAATATTTTTTCTGTTTTAATTTTTGATGATAGTAATAACTTAATTGAGGAAAAGAAAAGAAACATCCGAGCTATCATGGTTCACACTTGTATCTGTACAGTCAACTGACTTAACAGCTATTTTGTTATTACTTTTATAATGGCACTAATCAAATTAAACATCGACTCAAAATGATATTTAATTTGGTTTGAAAAAAGAATAGGACTTGAAGGAGAGGAAGATAATTGTCAATTTGACAAAAACCAAACAATTTAAAAATAAAAATATATTATCATGTCAAAACACGATCCTCATAAAAAAAGTTAAAAACAATATGTCGTTCTCTAATTCGACAAGACTATAGAAAAATAATGAATAAGTTAAAAGAAAAATGAATCATTTAAAAAAATGTGAATATATTTATCAAACAATACCAAAGCTTCTCAAATTTCTAAATTTTAACTTTAAGAAATAGTTTTGACATATTTATAATATTTATAATATCTATATGCATGTATCAAAATTTAGTATGAAAATATCACGCTCATTGAAATAATACAGAAGTCGCATTAAAAAGCGTTTATCGATCCAATTGTGCGCTCAATCAGAGGGATCCAACATGAAGGACAGAAATAAAAAATAATTGGAAAAGAAAATTTTAACATGGATATTAAAACTAGTGATTGAATTAGCATGATTTCTTTCAACATGTAATTTGGAAAGAGTTTATTTCAGGTGGAGACATAAAATTATTTAAGGGGGGTTTCTTACGTCTTTATCATGTTTATGAAATTGAGTTTAAAAAAAATGTTAATGAAAAAATGCAGTATCCTTGGGTTTCGTTACTGGTTCAAAATAAGATGTAATTGCCAATGAGACAACTTATCACCCGAGATAAACTACACAAACAAATTGAATTGATTACTAGAATGCCTGATTTCGAAAAAAAATTTTCATTCTCATGTGAAATAATACTAGTAAATGTCGTTGATAGTACGCCAATTTTTAAAGGCGTGTGGTATTGTCACTGTTGTCCAATCAGCTTTTCAATTGTAAAAAGGTTTATGTCCGGTGTTATTTCAACAGTAAAAATGACATTGTCATAGTTTAATGACACAGTAATAAAACTTGTAACATGAATCTTTTTTTTCCTTGATCTTTTTATGGAATAAGATAGAGACGACAAGCATGTACAATAATGTATGCTCTTAATTGAAGCAATCAAATAATATTGCATGAAAGGTCACTTGGGCCTATATAATTCAATGAAAAATCAGCCATGAAATAACCAACAACACCAAAAACCAATATTGCATGGGTAAGTTCCGCCGCCTTAGGGAAAAGTAAAATCACAAAAATACTGAACTCCGAGGAAAATTCATAAAGGAAAGTCCCTAATCAAATGGCAAAATCAAAAGCTCAAACACATCAAACGAATGGATAACAACTGTCATATTCCTGACTTGGTACAGGCATTTTCTTATGTAGAAAATGGTGGATTGAACCTGGTTTTATAGCTAGCTAAACCTCTAACTTGTATGACAGTCGCATCGAATTCCATTATATTGACAACGATGACTGAACAAAACAAACACACACAATAGGTAAAAATGTCAAAAATAGAGGTATTGCAGTCAAAATTGTGTTATCATCTTAATCACTATAAAACAAACAAATGTAGCAAAGAAGCACGAAAAGGCATACATCAAATTTAACATCCTCATTTTGCTTTTTTATTATACGATTTTATTTATCTATGTAAAATCCACCCATAAAGGATGGAAGGTTTTAAGTACTGGCATAGAATCGCGCGTTTGACGTCACACAGGTAGATATTTTGTCGTTCAAAGTATATTGGAGAAAATGTATTTTTGCATCCTTTGTCAAGTGCATAATCTCTCAAACATTATAGAAAATTAACAGGCAGTGAAAAAAGAATCGTTCTAATGTAATGTAACCCTAGCGGATGATGAAGATGAGAAAGAAGGTCATCAAAGCTCCCAGAGGGCGATCTAGGTTTGGAAGACTTTTTTACATTAGGCAGATGGTAATGTTTTTGCCCATGACTACGTTGGTTCGAAAGGTAGTATTAAATAAACTCATTACATTAACATCACTGCAGGCTGGACATGACAAATTTTCTACTCCTTTGACATTATTAATGCAACCATATGGCATAGTAGTACCTAGTTCCCTTATCCAGAAATTTTCTCTATCTTTTCGGAAAGGAGTACTAAGTACAGGGCTATTTGTGTGGTGATAAATTTTCTCGATGATGCGTACTTTCATAGATAAAGACGGATCATGGTCCGGTTGATTAAAATGGTTATAAAGAACCCTGAATTGCGGATCTTTATTATCAGACCGGTGTTGATTCATCCTTTTACGCAAAGCTTGTCGAGTCCACACAAAGTACATTCAATTCCGCCCACGACATTGTCCGTGGAACAGTCCAGAGGCTCGAACGATTTAGTATAATACATTTTCCTGTTAAATTACTGCTAAAAACAGGAGTCGTGATTAACATATGACATGTCTTACACGTGCTCCGTTTTCCGTTTTTGTGTTTACAAGAAGAAATGATGTGTTGATTCACTTGTAGCAGGTGTATTCAAACAGTCGAAAATATTAACGCAACATGGCTTTTATTTATGAAAAGTATCTGAATTTTTAAAGTAGTAATCACCTTCTGGCTGAACGTACGTCAAATCAGGGGTATCCCGGAGGATATTCTTTGGAACACACAAATCAAATGCTACAGTGTTCCGTGCAGCAAAAGAGGACCTTAGTAACCCGGGCGACGTCCCAGCCGGTTTGTTCCTTGTATTATTTGTTTTTTATCCTGCATAAAGCTACCCAGTTTTTCACCAGGAAAAGATGACGCCTACAAAAAAACAAACACATCAATGTCAATTTTATTAGGTTTCAAATAAAAAATACAAATTTTAAGGAAATCTCTGTAGATTTTCTCCGTCAGGCAAGAGAACAAAAAATATAAATTTCAAGAAGTAGCCGAAAAAAAAATAAATATTACTTTTGTCACGTCTTTAAGGATTTCTTGTGTTGTCCTTTGACGTTTTATCGCTGGAATGGCCAACACGCAATTTTCCATTTGTCGCTTCAGCACCAGAATTTTCCTCAAAAATGGGCACTGTTGCAGTCCCGGTGTAATCTAGAGGCGGATTAAGAATTCAAAAAAAATCCTATGTCAAACGTGCCTAAATCTTAATAATCCACAGCTTGCGAAACACTCAGGGAATTCGTCTATCATGCTTCCTAAAATACTTAGACACTGCTGTTTATTATATTTTGCCGCCAAACAATGATTTATTTTCCTGCACGGACTGTGGGCGGGTCATTCATGTCACAAATCATTTATAGCAACGCCTTCCTCGTTAGTCAAATAAACTTCTCACGCTTCACCTTCGAAAGTTTATTTGTCTAACTCGGAATACTATTCTATAGATATAACATCAAACTGCTATTTTCTATACAGTATGCCTGTGACTACCAGTTTCCGAATAAAACTGATGTCGACAAACTGCTTCGTAACCGCTGAGGAGACTTTAGGTGTAAAATGAAAATAGATTTTTGTATTGATAATGGTAATATGTTTTAATTAGATAAATATTGTGCTTATAAATAGTTGTGAAAAATTCAATGACACTACATGTATTTCGTTCTAGGTCAGTAGAACTCCAAAGTTTACATAGATATAAACAAAATGTATCATAGAATAAGTACACTCGAAAAAACTTTTTAGCCAGCTCACCAGCTTCAATTGTTCAAAATATTAAGAATTTTCGACCCCAGGAATATATTATGTTAGTGGTATTTGTCAAAACCTTTCGGAATTTCAGGCTATGAATGATCTTCAAATTTGTACTTTTATTTTGCTTTTTAACTTTTTTTATTCTACCGTCAATTATTAGTCATTTGTAGCGCGTCTGACATACACAATTATAAGCCTGGTATCTATAATGAATTTTTTTATTACTATGCTGCCGATATGAGACATTACAAAATAATAAGAACAAGGAAAACAATAATAGAAAATAAGATTTTAACGAAAAAATTAAATAACAAAAATACTGAACTCCAAGGAAAATTCAAAACAGAAAGTCCCTTTATGAAATGGCATAATCAAAAGCTCAAACACATCAAACGAATCGAAAACAACCGTCATATTCCTGACTTGGTACAGGCATTTCCTTATGAAGAAAATATTGGATTAAACCTGGTTTTATGCTAGCTAAACCACTCACTTGTATGACAGAAAAAGATTGGAAGAAACCAAGCAAGTCCGTACTTAACCTATTTATTTGTATCCTACATTACACTCTTAAATCATTGACTGCATTTCAAAGTAGACTTTAGACAGCAACGCCATTAGAAGTACATGACGACTTTTTTGCAATGCCCAGAATATAGCATACAAAACGTTTGTTCAGCAATCTTATCATAAAATATAATGCAAAACGTATGACTTTTTAGGGCACATTTCATACTATATAGCACTTAGTACTAAACATGTACACTTATCGTAAAAATTCTTCGTAGAATTACGACACAAAGATTAAGGCAAAATGCAATTCAAATAGCGTGAATTATAAATGTATT